TTGAATCTTCTCTCTAATTGAAATAATTTTATTTATAAAGAATCTCATGAAGTCATCACTACTTATGGTAGGGATACATGGTTCAACAGAAATGGGACTTTTAATTAGTCTAGCAATAGTACTAAACAGAAACCTAGGGTTATTTTTATTCTCCTCTATTAAAGATGAGTAATATAAAGTTCTAGCTTTACAGAGAGCTTTCTTATATGTTAGCAGACTGTCTTTCCAAGTTAAATAAAATTCTTTAACATTAGTAGAGTGCCATTTTCTCTCCTGGTTTCTAGATGCCTGCTTTAAAGTACGTAACTCAGAATTGAACCAAGGAGCCAGTTTCCTCTGACTGATTACTTTCTTTTTCAGTGGAGCAATTTTATCAAGTGAAGTTTGCATTGAAGTTGTAAGATGATCAACTAGATGATCTAAGTCACTGTTCTCTGATGCATTACTCTGCAAGACAGAGGAAAACATTGATGGAAGAGATTGTTTAAATTTGGATACAGCATTTTCTGATAAGCACCTGCTGAGATGAAATTTACTCTCAGTGACTGTGTAGTCATTTAATGTAAACTCAAAGGTTATTAAAAAATGGTCGGACAGAATAGGATTTTGAGGAACTATTACCAAGTCCTTAATCTCTATACCATAGGTCAGAACTAAATTAAGAGTGTGATGATAAGATGTGCGGACGTTTTGGGTAAAACCAAATGAGTCTATTAAATTATTAAAGGCTATGCTTAAGCTATCACTTTCAACATCTACATGAATATTGAAATCACCCATTATGATGATTTTATCAGTATTTAATAATAAGTCAGTTAATAATTCTGAGAATTCAGACAAAAACTGAGAGTAAGTGCCTGGTGGACGATATATAACAACTAGTAAAAGTGGCTTTTCTGATTTCCATTTTGGATGAGGAAGACTCAGGGACAGCGATTCAAAAGAATCATAACTAACAACTGGATTGGCATTAATCAATAATCCTGACTGAAAAATAGAAGCTACTAAGTGATAAGCATTCCTTCAATGCAGGGCCATTAATGTCAAATCACGTTCAATTTTACAATTCTATCACTCTCATAACAAAGTGATTCCTCCTTTTTTATAAATCAGATACATCTGAATTTTTGTCTTTTTACAATCACAACAACCTGAACAATAAGGCCAACACTAAATATAACACGCAAGGACAACCTGTCTGAACATAACAAAAAAGTCCACCTGCTTCTGTGCAGATATTAACCAGCAGTCCCTGCAGCTCACCTACAAAAGGCATTATACTGTGTTTAAGAACAACATGTAATTTCAATATTTCAGACTGAAATTGAACAGTAATCCACATAACTTACTGTTAATAATCAGAGACTCTACTTCCTCAGGCGGCTGAGACGAGCTGGTCTGGGAAGCTCAGTCCTCACCTCCATACAGGTGTGCAGTGAAGAGCATTATCCGCAGAAAGAAAAGCTTTGCAGAGAGTGGTGAAGGCTGCACAGAAGTCTGTTGGAGTCAGCCTCCCCACCATCACAGACATCTATACCTCCAGATGCAGGAAGAGGGCCACCTGCATCATGAAAAACCTCACTCACCCAGCACACACACTCTTTGCCCCGCTCCCGTCAGGAGGGAGGTTGAGGAGCATTAAGTGTAGAACCACTAGAATGAGGAACAGCTTCTACCCTGCAGTTGTTAGACTCATGAATCTCTAAGCAGAATAATTGTGAAAAATCACATCACATTGCTGCTGATCTGTTTCATGTTGCTGTGTTCATTCATGCTCATCTGCTCACACAGACTCATGTTCATGCTGCTGTTCGACATATTGTTTTTATGCTATTGGTGCTTAGTGTATTTTTGGATCAATATTGTTCTTAGTTCATATCTTAGATCTTATTGCTGTTTTTCTTTAACATGTTATACTTTTGTTGGATGTAACTGAGACCCTGTGTACACAATTTTGTTCCACCACATGTAGCACATGTGGTGTGTATGACAAATAAAGAAACTTTGACTTTGCTGTGTCTTCTTCATGTAATAAACCCAGAATACAACTGTGATGTTCAAAAATATTTATATAAACATAAATTAGATATTTAACCTTCATTTTCTTAGAGCAACTACTATGTCAGAGTGGATTTTCAAATTTACTGGTTCAACTGAATTAATCGCAGATCTTCACAAGGTCAAAATAAAAATATGTGCAAAAGCACAACATTTATTTTCCTTCTTCTTTTTGCTGCTTTCCCTAAAACACAATAACAAAAATGTCTGTTTCTGATCTCCTGACCCTATTAAGAGCCAGAATCTGGTTGAGGTGCTGCTGATCCACTCCGGTGCCCAAAAATCGTTTTAACCTCTCTGTAGACTGCAGAGATGTGATGCTGAGCTGACTACATCAGATTAACAAATCCAGCTTTGATGATGATTTGTATGCAGTGAAATAAAATAGGCAGCGCCAACAATTAAAAAAAATAATTGAAGTAGGCTGAAAACGAAGAAACTTGATCAAAATTATATAATAATAATATCTAAAAAAGTTAAATCTGGTCTTCTGGGCATTGGTTTTTTTTTTTTTTTTTAAATGCCCAGAGGACCCGATTTAACTTTTTTAGATTCTTCTACCTGGATTATTGAGCATGCATCAGTATATAATAATAATAACAATAATAATAATTTAATTGTAGAGTTAACAATTTCAATATGTTTTTCATCACATTTTACTTTCTGTCAGTTCCACTTCTGGAGTGTGTCAATCTATTTGGAATAAAATCATGTAGTCTGCAAAAGATCACATTGAAAAATGTGCTAACAAGCTAGCCACATTGTTCATGTATGACTCCGCCAAGACTGCTTTGAACACAAACAGCTAAAGTGGACAGCCCACTAGGGATTCATGCAGGCCTGTGTGTTTTGGTCCCACCCACTCCATATCAGCATAGTGATTGGTCAATTTTCCTCTCAGTTACTAATCAAACTCATCCTGTTACCTACTCTCAAGACAGAAGCCCTAACCACAGACATTTCCTTCAAACATGTTTCTGCCTGGAAATGCCAATTAAAAAACATTTGATGGGTTAACTATATTTTCAAGAAATAGTTTGCAGAACTAAAAGAAAAGCAAAATTAGAAAAGAGAAATTAGCAAAAAAAATAAAATAAATTAAAATATATATTTACATAAAATGACTATCAAATAAAAAATTGTAACATTTCATAGGTAAATTGTAGCAAAAAGCGGCTTCTTCACAACATATCACCAGTCAACAACAGGAGGCCACCAACACAAAGGCTCAGAAACAATGTATTAAAAATCTGTCTAACAGGATGCTGATGCAGCCAGTGATGGATGTGCTGGCTAAAGGCCTGAATTTTGCCATTCTCCACAGGAAATACCCACTGTGGAACATATCACGACCACTGAATCTGCCATCAGGAGCAACCTGAATGAAAAAGAGGCAGAACAACTGGGGATAAAGAAAACAGCAACCCTCTCCAGTGCCAAGCTACCTCCTTCAGATCTCACACCTGCACAGGAAAGAAAAGCTATAACCTTGCTTAGTCAGGACCAAAGTGTAACCATTTTACCAGCTGGCAAAGAAAGATGCCCAGTGGTCCTCAACACTTCTGGTTACCAGGACCAAATATCCACACTACTCAGTGACACCACTACATATGAGACCTTGAAGTGGGACCCAACCAGCACATACAAAAATAAGATCACAGACTACTACCTCAAATAACTTGAACATAAACAAGGTAATTAATCATTCATTTTACCCGATTACATCCAGTAATCCAGTGTTTATATTGACTTCCCCAAATCCACAAAATAGGAATTCCACTCAGATTGGGGGAGTGGTGGCGCAGAGGTTCTAGAGAGGTGGGCCTGCAATCGGAAGATCGCCGGTTCACGCCCCGGTATGGACAACATCAAAAATGTGGGTGGGGTAGGTGAAGCAACCACATTTGCCCCTACCCTCATTCACCCCACTTGGGCCCATGAGCAAGGCCCTTAACCCCCCATCTGCTCCCTAAACAGGTCTCTCTTGAAAATGAGTTCTCATGGCTCAATGAGACTACCTGTATAAATAAAGGGTAAAAAAAAAAAAAAAGATCCATTTTCAGCAGCATAAACTCTGTGACATTTAATATTACAAAACGTCTTACTGGTATTTTTGCTTCTCTTATGGGAAACACACCACATACAGTATATGCTAAACACTAATAATGTAAAATAATATGGCATATTAAACAGCACCCCGAACATGAGTCTGTTTTGAGCAGATGGGTATGAATGAATACAGCAGTTTAAAGACAAGAGATCAGCAGCATGGATAATAATCAGCAGCACAGATAAGTCACATATGACCAATTAAAGTGTCATTATAGTGATTTTTCTTTTTTTCACAGTGATTTTCCTGGTTAGAGATTTATGAGTCTTAACAGCTTCAGGGTATAAGCTGTTCCTCAGTCTAGTGGTTCCACTTAATGCTTCACTACCTCCGGCCTGAGGGGAGCGGGGCAAAAAGTGTGTGTGCAGGGTGAGTGGGGTCCAAAGAGATGGAAGCCTCAACAATGACGTTTACAGGAAACCTACTCACACAGATCAGTACCTTCTGTTTGACTCTTACCATCCACCGAACACAAAGTTTCTGTCATTAGGGCTTTACACCGCCGAGCTGAACATGTCCCCACAAAGACAGAACAGGGAAAAGAACAAATGCAAAAACACTTTTCTGTTATGTTGCTGGAGTATCTGATGGATTTTCCCCAAACACATCCCAGTAAATTTTAAAACCAACATCAGGACCCTCAGACAGAAGCTGGTCCACTCCAAGGACAGCCCCGCCCCAAGTTCCGTCGTCACGCTACTCTCAGCCAATCAGACGTAAAGAGGGCGTGGTTAGTGTCAGCGACGAGTCGGGCGGCTTAGCAGCGACGCAGCATCTCAATAAGAGCGGCGTTTGTGCTTTGTTTCGTGGATGTGTCTGTGCCTCCTCCAAAATGTGGACGGATTTAGGGACATTACTAATCTTTCACGTGTTCTTTCTGAGGATTTCTTTCCTGGGAGGTCAGTACCGTGTTTTTTACGTGTCTCTTTATGTTTGTATTTTCAGCGTTAAGGCGTTTTTGCTATAAAATTTGAAGAGGAGCCCCAGGTTCTTACTAGCGCGTGAACCTGATAGCTAGGAGGCAAACACACAGAATGAGGTGACTTTACTCATTCTTACTCAAAGAGCATCACCGTGTCGTGGTTTATTCTTTTGACGCTTGGCCATGTTTAGGACGTGAAGGCTGTGTCAGTCATGTGTTTGCTGAGCATCCTCACCATGAGTGGAGGTAGTAGACTGAACCCTCATCCTTTTAAAGACCCGAGTGAAGCAGGGGCCTCCTCTCTTTTTTTTTATAATATCCTGACAAAGCAGAACTGTAGGAAAACAGACAATGACCCAAGTGAAAGCTTGCATATCAATTAGGCATTCATTTGCAAATTACAGTTGCAGAAGTGGTTATTGCTCCATAAACAGACCTCTGTGCTGCTCATCCATCTGGACTCTGACCTCCACTCTCTTGCTCTCTCCTCCAGCCACTGATGAGTGCGAGGATGGACAGTTTCAGTGCAACAACAAAAGGTGTATACCAACCATCTGGAGGTGCGACGACGACGATGACTGCTCAGACAATAGCGATGAAGAAAGCTGCCGTAAGTGTCACAACAGAGGGAGAAGTGAGGACAACTTACATGTTTTTAGGTGTTGGCAAACGTGAGAACTGAGCTGTGATGGCTGAACATCTCACAGAATGTTAGAAGAAGCAGGGGACATATCTGAAAGGTTAATAAAAAGATGATCACATCAGTTCTTAATCCCTTATTCTTGTTTTTATGTTTTGCTATGATTTATCTACTTAATTTACTAAAACATTAAGAAAAATCCATCATACTCATGTGTGGGTGAGAGTGTGGTTGTTTATCGCTTATGTGTCCCTGTGATGGACCGGAGACCTGTCCAGGATGTCCCCTGGATTTCACACAGTGACCCTGGAGACAGGTCAGCTCCCTTTGACCTGGAAATGAAGGAAAAATGGATTAATTGATTGATTAAGAATTATTTTGTATGTTTTCAAATTATGTGTGTGAAGTTATGAATATCTTACTTGTATATTACTTTTGGTATAACTTCAGTTCAGAAAAACAGTTTAAGGGACGAATGAGGACACAAAGACCAATTAGCTAAAGAGTCTGAACACAACCAAGACTGAAGTGGAGTGCTGTCATCTTAAAATAATTCCAGAATGAAAAAACAAATCATAATGGTCCATTTAAATGCTATTTTTCTAAACCTTTCATCGGTCAAATTTGAAAAATAAGGTTATTTACATATATTTATTTGGTTTTAGCTGCAGATTGGCATTTATGCTGTAGTCTGGGTTCACTTATAGGATCAATTTCATAATATTTCTACAAAAATAATTGTGTGATGCTGAATTTGTGGCAGTGTAAAGGTTGTAAGGATACCTTTTGCAACAGTTAAAGAATAAATTTAAATTTTGAGTTTTAAGTTTGTTTTAAGACAGTGGTGACCTGCTTTAAAAGTTGGTTTGCACAACAATATACAACTCTAATTCTCCAAACTGTGGTTTTTCAAAAAGCTTTATACAACGGATAAAGCTTTTTGAAAAAAAAAAATTCTAGAATTGCGCCGCTCAAGGTGGCTGCATGTTGGAGCAGCTCTGTTACATTCATTCTGAGATTTTGCTTTTGGAAACTTTAATTCCTCTTTTTCTGGATGTAAATCACATTTTTTTGGATGATTGTTTCCTCTGGTATCAGATGCTGTGCAGCTGGAAGGATTTTTACTGAAACTTTTTTAGTTTTGGACATTTGTTATGATGCGTAACCATGGCAACAAGGCAGTTTTCTACAACAACAGCAGCTGATTAACATCTCAAAAGCTCAAATAATATCTCAACTATGGCCCCAACTCTCAAATGAGTTGAAAAGGATGTTCTATGGACGCATTCTCATCTACCTGCCAGCTGTGCTCGAGTGCCTGACCGCTGAGATCCTGGAACTAGCAGGAAACACGGCTCACGACAGCGGAAGAACAGGATCGTCCCTCAGCACCTACAGTTGGCTGTCCGCAGCTATGAGGAGCTCGGCAGACTGCTGGGAGGAGTGATCATCGCTCTGGGAGGAGTTCTGCCCTGCATTCAAGCGGTCCTACAGTCCAGGGGAACCAGGAGGCCAGCCGAGTCTGGGTGGACGGATCAGACGGCATCTGCAGCCAGTTTCTTAGGATCCACTGTGAGATGAACCTTTACAAGAGATCCTTCCTGTATACAGCCTTCAGCATCTATAACATCTCTTAATGAAATGAGGATAACGAGTTACAACAACAAAATAATTTCCCTCTGGGATTAATAAAGTATTTTTGAATTTGAATTGAATTGAATTGAATAAGATATTAGTTGTACAAAGCATTTCTACAGAACACCAATTCACAATTTGTTTAACCTTTATTTAACCAGGAAGATCCCATTGAGATTAGTATTTTTTTTTTCAATGGGAGATCTGGCCAAGGTAGGCAGCAGCAATGCAGTCTAAGTTACACAGAACACAGACAAGGTTAAATAAAGTTAAAAAAGTGTCATGAAAAGTAAGTGCATGTAAAGGAATTAACCTCAGATGATACCAGTGTAGATTTAAAACTCCTCAGTTATGTAAATAATTATTTAAGTTTCCAGTCTTCCTGTAACATATTTCATGCATAAGACGCAGAGTGAACTTTTTTACCCAACTCAGTGCAGGCAAATAGAATAGAAAGCAAAAAATAAAAAAACTCTTAGGAGTGAAGAAAATCCCACCTCTGTGCAATCATGGTGCATATTTAAGATGGCAGCAATCACAGCCTGGCTGGAACATCTCTCTAAGATGTTTGTTTGAATACGTTTTTATAATCTCATTTTGAAGTTGCGCTTATATACCGGGTTCATTAGAGCTTTGTGGTTTGATTGTGATAAGAACATTAAGTGATGTTTTTGTATTTTGTTAACAGTTAAGAACCATAATATACAGCACACATCATCTGTCACTTCCAGTTGTCATGTAGTAGTATTTTGAGGAAGGACTTCCTATTTCCACTGGAACCAAACTTGTTTTCAAGTTGCTCTTTCTGTCTGTCTGTCTATCTATACTATATTAGGGGTGCACCGATTGTAGTTTTCTGGCCGATCACCGATTTCTAAAAAGTCTGACCTGCCGATACCGATTTTGTTTTATAAGCAACACTGTCAGGAGTTATAAGGTCACAATGCACCTTCGATTTTCCAATATTATTTTGTTGAAAAACATACCCTTGAGCAATATCCTAGAAACAATACAAACTTGTTTAACTGGCCATGAGGTAGTGCTCTGAAATATGAATGAAATTTAGACAATTGTTAAAACTACAATAAAATCAGTAAAATCGGTTTCTCATGCAAGTATCGTACGATTTCCCAAAATTAAGGAAATCGGGGCCGATTTATCAGTGCACCCCTATACTATATATCTATATACATATAATATAATATAGTATTGTGCATGTATTTATTTAGCGGCAGCACGGTGGCACAGTTGGAAGAGATGCTGCCTCTCAGCGAAAAGGTTGTCCTGGTTCAAATCTCGGTCTGGAGGCCTTTTTGGGTGCAGTTTGCATGTTCTCTCCGTGCATGTGTGGGTTTCCTCCGAGTACTCCAGTTTCCTCCCACAGACCAAAAACATGCATGTTAGACTTGTGGGTAACTCTAAATTGTCTCTAAGTGTGAGTGAGAGAGTGAATTGTTGTTGTGTCCCTGTGATGGACTGGAGACCTGTCCTGGGTGTCCCCCGCCTCTCGCACAGTGATAGCTGGACATGGACACCAGTGACCCCCGTGACCCAAAAAGGAAGAAGTGGGTAAAGATAATGGATGGTATTTATTTAGACATATCAAATATTGTCTCTAGGAAGGTGTAAAAGTTAAGAGAATTGCAAGGAGACCCCAGTGAAATCAGTCTTGGTGTGATGACGTGAATGCTCCAAGCTCAGAGTGTTTCCTGGTGATTTAATCTCTGTTAAAAACCTTCAATATGTGTTTTCTTGGAATGAGGGTTGAATAACTGGAACTCTTTTTCAATCACCTATAAAGGAAAAGCTGTCCATGTGAGAGACAAACATGCTGCATATCGTCCAGTGCGGAAACTCCTGGATGTGTCACATGAGCGTGCTTTTTTGTACACAAACAGGAGATTTACATTTTTTTTTTCTAACTTGGAGCCATTGACCTATATTTTGAAAGAAAGCTTGTGCTGAAACTATTGAAGCTGTGCCAGAGCTCTGCATGCGTGCAGCTATCTTTTGTGTCTGGGTTATTTGTGGCTCTGGAGGAATTACTGCACCTCCCCTTTGGAGCATACATGCATCATGATTTATTTTTCTCCTAATACTTACATTTGTGTTTGTTCATTTTTACTTCTGTGTTTCCAAACCTCCCACACACTCAGACCCGTCGTGCTGGAAACAAACATGTTTTGGCTCCTGTGAACGTCTGGAGGTGTTGCCTTTGGACTTCTGTATCTGTGTCTTCAGGCATGCAAATGAAATATCTTTGGGGGAGGCACTTTGCTTCTAAAACATATGTCACTGCTTCTTGTGCACAAACAAACAACCCTGTTTTTGGGGGAGAGAAAACCCTTTACTTTTTTAGCTTTATACCATATTTTTCTTCTATAAATGCAATAGAAAATTGTGAGATTTTAATATTACCCGTATGTTTGTCATCAGGAGGAGCTTCTGACACATTTAGGGTTTGAGTAAAAGTCACCCCCAAAAGCTTTTTAAGTGAGACGAGCGGCCATTGTTTGATCGTGACAGCCAAGCAGTACTGTGCATCATTTTAGAGACTGGCCTTTATTCTGTGTCCATTTCCTCTCCGTGTGTGGGTTGCTGCGTGTGTGTAGGCAGACAGAGTCTCAGCAAGGAAAAATCTATTTCTGAGTTGGTGTCCTTGCAGACATACACTGTTAATAATAATAAGCTAAGGATATGACCTTTTGTTCATGTATTCTGTAGAGCAGATTTTATTTTATGTGCTAGCACTAAAGAGATCTTCAGCATCTTTCTTGTGCCTACACCAGTTAGATGTAGGATTACCACAACTTGCCTAATTTTAGGTAGGTCTTGTTATTAAACAATAATAACCCCTGTAGAGCTCTTAAGTTCAATCGGTACCAAGGGCCTCATGTATTTATTTATTTTTTTTTCATTTAGCCTTTATTTATCCAGGTTAGTCTCATTGAGCCACGAGAACTCATTTTCAAGAGAGACCTGTTTAGGGAGCACATGGTGGGGTTAAGGGCCTTGCTCATGGGCCCAGAGTGGGGCGAATGAGGGTGGGGGCAAGTGTGGGTGTTTCACCTACCCCACCCACAATTTTGATGTTGTCGGGGCCGGGGCGTGAACCGGCAATCTTCGGATCACAAGCCCACCTCTCTAACCTCTGCGCCACCACTCCCCTATCACAGATGTGTATGCACAAAACGTTGCGTGCGTCTGCTTCCACACATATCGGGATGTATCAAAACCAGCGTGTGAAAGTGTGTAAATATACACATACTATTGACCTGCTGTGAGCATGTGCTTACCTCCACTCAAACTTTATTAGTTCACAATATCAAATTACA